ATAAAATATAAATTAATTAATATTTTATATTTAATTATTTCATAATTATCCTTTATACTATTATAATAATAAGAATATTTTGATCATTACGCTATAGAATTATTATTCAATTTTTTATATTAAATCTTATCAATCATATCAATTATAATAAATTCACTCAAATACATTATCTTTCTCTCAGTTCAAACAATTTCATGATTCTAATTTAAATTACCTCAAATCCATTCATATAACTTCTCACCCCAATTCAAATACAAACTTAAATTCCATCCATTTTTTATTTATTTTTTATTTGATTCATAATTTCTATTATAAAATAATATAATTTATCCGCTTTAATATAATTTTAAAATATTCTTATGATTGAATGTTTCATGCTAAAAATTTAAATGTCATCAATTGTTCAAAATCATAATAATTTTTTTGCTTATATTTATAATTGAGCGTGTTAATTGTGAAAGTGTGATAATAAAATTAATGTTTTCATAAAGATAATTTGTTTTAACCCATAAATTTCTATTTTGTTTAACTTATTATATGATTATAGTTTATTTTCATAATATCATAAATTCAAATTATTTAATTGTTAGCCATCCATAAAGGAATTGCAATCATTCTATCTTGATTAAATCAAATTACTTGATATTATTATAAATAAAAACATGACAATTAACTTTTACCCTGAAATAAGAAGTACGATGTCTTATTTGGATTCTTACCAATAATTAACAAATATTATTGTTTAAAGGATGACGTATGAATATCTAATTATATTATGATATTCTCCTTGTATTATGGATTTTACTGTGTAATTGATCATATTAGAATATTTTTATTATTATTGATATTTGATAATATTTGAGTTTTAATAATATCATTCTCTTAAATTTTATTTATTTATTTATTGTATATGTAATGTATAAATAGAATAATTGTAAAAATGTAACTTATAAAAAAAGTTAAATGGTATTTTTAATGCTTATATATTTTTTCTTAATTAGTTATTAAATGTTAATAAATAATATTCGAAATAACTTAATATTTTACATTTACATTTTATTTCAAAAATAATATATTCCATGTAGATAAATAACATTTAATTTTATCATAACATAAAAAATTAAATTATATTTTAATAATATCGAGTAGAGATTTATTTGAAATAAAAAAATTGTGAGAGATTGAAATTATTTTTAATGACTTTATTTAATTTTTAAATTTTTTTATATAGTTTAATGGATAAATTGATCTTTCTAAAAATTTTCATTGTAGAAATGTACATAATTATTATTAAATTAATTATTATTGAGTGTCTATTAATTTTATTATTCTTAATTATCCATTAATTTTATTAGTCTTTATTATTATTATTATTTATATGATAATATATTTATAATTCTTAAATATTTATATTTATATCTATAAATAAAATAGAAAGAATCGGAATATTTAATTTTTGTTTATATATATATATATATATATATATATATATATATATATATATATATATATATATATATATATATATATATATATTGGGATATCACTATCTTTTTATCAGTTATTTTTAAAAACAATTTTAAATATAAATTTATTAAAAAAAACATAAACAAATTTATATAGTCATGTGTGTAGCATTTGAAAATAGTGAATAATTTCAAAAAAGGAATATATTGTTTCTTTCTGAATCAACGCATAGTAACTTTTACTTGAATAACTTTCTTTTTATATTAAATATAATTTGATAAATTTTAAGTTACTTTCATTAAATAATTTTATTTTCTGGTCAGCGAAATATTGTTTTAAAACATTATTATATGATTTTTATTTTTTGTTACAGAACAAATTATATGAATTTTTCATTTTTACACGTTAATAAATAATAACAAGATATATTTAACATAATATAAACAAATTATTTATATAATTTTTCATTTTTTATTGATAAAAAATAGTCATAATCGTTAAATTTATATTATGTGTAATTTTAATATATGTTATTAGTAATTTAAAATATAAACAACAATTTAAAATTTTTTGTCTTTGAAGATAAAATCTTTGGGATATATTAAAAATAATTATAACAGTCTCTCTCTCTCACAAACACACACACACACACTATATATATATATATATATATATATATATATATATATATATATATATATATATATATATATTAAAAAAAATATAATATTAAAAGTAAATTATTGAAAGTAAAGTAAGAAAAATATTAAAAACTATAAAAACATTGTTGATAATATATTAAAAGTTAAAGTAAAAGTATAAATAATTACTTTATTTATGTATATAATAAATACATACTTAATTGAATTACACATAAAAATAATATAATTATTTAACATATTATTTGTTATCAGAATTTCTTATCAATATTTTCTGTTTCAATATAATTATATTAAGAATAAAAAATAACAAAAGAAATTTGTAAGTATAGAGTCAAAAGAGTCATATTTAGAAGAGTTAAACATATTTAATCCTTTTAAATATATATCCACATGTTTATTTTCAAAAAAAGTTTGTGGGAGATTTATACCAATTGTTACAAACCTAATTAATTAGGGAAAAAATAAAATTAATCTTTTACTCATAGAAGGATGGAAAGATAAATTAAATTAATCCAATTATCAAAGATGAATAAAATGTCAAAATAGATAATAAACCTTTGAAAATTTGTAGTTCTAACTCGAAGAAAAATGTATCATTTGAAGAATAATAGAGAGAGTTTATATATATTATATAATTTTAATCTTTGTAAGTTTAAATGTCCATGCATATAAAGTAGTTTCTTAAAATTTGTTGGTATTATATGAAATATAATTACATTGAAATCATGTTTTTTATTTTTAAAAAATACTTAGAACCCTAAACTCAAAATTCAACTTTATGCTCATAAGTAAAATTTAAAATAATTCAATATTTTATCAATTCTAACCTTGCAAAAGTCAAAATTCTACAACTATGTATTTCTTAATATAGTTAAATTTGCTTTTAGCAATGAAGAAAATTAAATTTAATAAGATCCTTTCAACGTTAAATATAAAATTTTATTCATAGCAACGATCTCATCATCTATACTAAAATAAAACCATTAACATGTTTATAATTGCATATCTACATGTATTAAGTTTATTATAATTGTATATAAAACCTTTCAAAAGAAAAATAAAAGTTATAAAATAATTCAAAACAAAACATTTCATCTGTTTCTTGGGTTTAAGATTTGATGACACAAATCAATAAAAATATTAGTTTTTCTTGATCTTAATAAATTTATTAATATTTTTCAATATTAGTCTGATCATTTTAAGCAATCAAATTTTCAGAACAACATATTTAAATCAATTTCATCACGTAATTAGGTTTATTACATTCATAATTCAAACTCGTGTATAACTAAAAGTTAATTACTCCTAATTGGTTATAATATTAGAATTTAATGTAAAAATTATATATAAAATAGTTTCTTTGTTTTAAAATATCCTGCTCTTCAAAAGAATTAAGATTTTGAAAGAAGAAAAAGTTACTCGCAGAAGCCTGACGTAGGAAACAAACACGTCACTACAGGATTCATCTTTTTCAGACAACCACGAGACGAGATGCAAGGTACAGGAGAAAAGAGAAGAAAAAATGAGATTCGATAAGGAAAAAGAGAAAATATCTACAACAAAATTGTCTTCACTTAATTTAGATACATTTTCAATTATTTCTTAGTAAAAGAAATAAAAAAAGTCTTCTAAAATATATAGATCTAAAATACAAAGAACTTGAGGTTTCGAAAAATAAAACATCTGATTAGTTTTTTACTTAAATTTTTTTAAAAATTTAACTAAAATTAAATTTTTTTAAAAATTTAACTAAAATTAAATTTTTAGTTAACTTTAAAATTTTTCATCTAATAGAAATAGTTTGTATGGATCATTACCTTCAATTAATATAGTTCATAAAATGTATTTTAACAATCAAATTAATATATATATATATATATATATATATATATATATAATGTATTTATATTTTATATTTGATCTATAAGAATAGCAAATTACGGGTTCTTTAAATTTAATTACTTATATATATGAAATCATTACTTTTAATTACTCTTGTTTATGAAATATACATTACAAAATTATTAATTAAAAAAAGTGTAAATAATAATAATAATAATAATAATAATAATATTATTATTATTATTATTATTATTATTATTAGGGGAAACATAAATGTTGAGGCTTATATTTGTTCGAATCTTTTTATAATATTAATTTTAAAAAATATTTATTTATTTTTGTAATATTATAATTAAAATTTTATTTTGCTTTTTAGTATTGTTACATTTATCCCCATTCTTCTTAATATTACATTATATATATATATATATATATATATATATATATATAATCTTTTATTTGATAAAGAGTAATATAAGTTATAGGCCATCATAATACGAAAAACAGCTATTCAATTTTTTTGATATATAATGATATAAATATAGACGATAAAAAAAAATATAAATATAATATAATTTTCTTAATATTGATATAAATATTTATTTATTTAATTATATAATAAACAACATTCATATAAACGAATTAATTTTTTATTAAAAAAATCAAACCAATTAAATTATCTACAATAATTATAAAGATAAAGTTTTCATCAACAATTACTATTTATTTATTTATTTATTTATTTTAACAGGATTCAAATATCATTTTTTATGACACTACCGTAAATTATTTTGACATCTATAGTCATTTAATAGCTAGTTTTTATTTTCAGAATTTAGGATTTAAGATTTAAGATTTAAGAAAAATAAACATGGATGTTTTATTTTATTTTTTCATTATATAATCAATGAAAATGAATGTGACATTTTAAAATTCAATGGTTACAGTGAGCAGAGCAGTGAATTAAAAAGAAAAAGGTGAACAGAAGCGCGGCGGAGGAGTAGCACTCAGTGACAGACAGAGAGAGATATGGCGGCTGAGAATGGGTTCGACTGCGAGAGAGTGGGAAGAGAAGAAGCAGAACACATCGAAGGGTGTTTGAGCAAGTTCATCGATGATGGCACCGTCGAAAGTCACAGATACTACTTGTCTCGCAGAACCACTCTGGAAATGCTCAGAGACAGAGGCTACTCCATCCCCTCCAACGAAATTGACCTTTCTCTCTCCCAATTCCGCCACATGCACGGCAACTCCCCCAACCCTGACCGTCTCCGCCTCTCCCTCACTCACGCCACCAACCCTTCCAAAAGGGTATCTTTTTCTTCTTCAATTTTTCACCCCACTCCCCCTCTTATCTTGTCCTCTCAATTTCAATATCTTCCCCTGAAATCTCTGGAAAAATTCAATTTTTATATAATGGGTTTGTTTTTTTTATGCTACTTTATGGGTGTAAACTATCTGCCAATGTTTACTGAATGGTCACCTGTAGCTGGTTCTTGCTTTTTGATCGTTTTTTTTTTCTTTTTCTTTTTTTTTTCTAGCGTTTGAGTGATCTTTTGAAGCAAAATTGATTTTGCTAAGTTGATCGTATTAATTTAGTCAAGTTATTTATGTTTTGATGTTTTAGTCCGAAAGTGGGTACCATGTTTCTACCAATTTTTATTTGTAAAATTCATTTTGGATGAAATTAATTGTGTTGAATTATTAATTAAGCGATGTGGTTTATTTTTATGTGTTTAGTCTGAAAGTGATGAGATGACAATGTTTCCCACCAATTTTTATTTGTAAAATTGATTTTGAAGCGAAGTGTTTTATCTTGGTGCTTCTTGATGACTCTTAAACCAAGTTTGACGTACATTTCACAGTGAAAAAGTTATCTTTTTATCACTTTCAGTCAAACCGAAGTTTAGGGACTAACTCAATAACACCTGAAAATGACTAAGCATTTGTAATTGTAGTAAAATCAGTTGTTGGTGATTGCAGGTTTTAGTTATTTTCTGTGGGCCAGGTGCTGTGAAAGTTACAGCCATTCGGAACATTGCGGGGCAGATTGTTAATAGAGACACTTTGAGTAGCCTTATATTGATAGTGGAGAATCATGTTACTAGCCAGGCCTTGAAAGCGGTCAGTCTCTTTTCCTTCAAGGTTGAAATTTTCCAGGTTTGTGATTCTATCTCACATCTCTCACAAATGTACTACAGATAGGTTTTGTTTTATATTTTTCTATTTTTAGTTGGATCGTGTGAAATTGCATGTTGTATTGCTGACAAGATTGGTTGCACTGATTTTCATTATTGACCTCTGTGCGCTTTGAAATAGCTGTGGTTACCATGTTGAACAAATGTATGTCATATATTTCATGGTGTTTGAGTATTAGTAATACTCAGTTCAGTTATGCTCAACTATCAGTCTAACTGTTCTTGGACAAGGTTTTAAATTGCAGCCACCGTGCGATTGGATTGTTTTCAAGTTCTTATTATTTTAGAGTACACGACAATGTGAATGTTTTATTATGCTCTATCAACACATTAAAAAGATTATACGATATGTCTGCTATGGAAGTAGGTCAACATTTCTATTGGCAAATAGGGACACCCCTAAAACCCTTACTTTGCTGCCTAGACTCTGGTTGTGACCCTCTTTCAAGAACCCTTTATAGCTGTCAAGTAGATAGGAATTTGAGTGTTATACCTAAGTGTCAGGTGGGTCATCAATTTATTGGGTCTAGTTGGCTAAGTTAAAAAGAATAAAAATATTTTTTTATGGGCTACTGAACCCATTATAAGATTTATCTTTATTTGCATCTGAGTCCTTTAGGGTAAATAAAGACAAGAAGAAGACATGTAACAAAAAATAGAGAAGTATGTCTTTAGTGAGAAACAGAAAGAAGCCATCACAAGAAAGAAGAACTTACTATTCAGAGAAGCTCCATGCACAAAAGTTAGTTCAGAGAAGAGGTTATATTGTTCTGATTACTTAGTGTTTCAGTTCACTGTTGTTTTGTTAGATACCTATTAGAGTTACATGTTATCCACCTAATCGGTGAAAGAAAATGTTCTCTTGATCTTTGGTGACTCAAGAGATCTTGTGTTGTACCCATTAATTATTATTAATGAAAGGTTTTGTTGGATTAGGTATGTGGGTTTTTTCTTCACATTAAGGGTTTTTCTTAGAGTCTATTGTTATTTGTATAGGGGAAAAGATATTCTAGTGGATCTTCTTGGGAGATGCGGGGAGCATGACTCCCTCCCCCAAAGTTTTGTAACTTACATTAGCATTTATGATTTTGTCCTTCTCAAACTTAATGATTATTTCTAAAGTTTTGTAACTCATATTAGTATTTATGATTTTAACCTCCCAAAACTTAATGACTATTAAATATACTTGTTTATATATTTACAAATATGACCTCTCACCCTTTCATATTTTATTTTTACATATTCCTTTATTATTTATTAATAATATATTATTTAGTCTTTTTAAAATCAATGGTCAAGATCTGCCAATGACTATAAGTGTATCTGAATCACCACATTCTAGTAAGTTCATTCAGTTAATCGTTTAACAGGAGGTTTCTCTGATTATCTCTCAGCAAGAGCTTTTTCCTCAACCGGGAACCATGGCTTTCTCTCAGTCACTCACTTATGCTTGCCTATCAACCTAACTCACAGACACTCTGAAAGCCGAATACTCTCAATTACATTTTTGCTAAAAACATTGGGTTTTGTGATGCATGCAAATATTGAGTAACTATGGCATTTCATCCTGAATGTTTTCACTTTGTACCCAAATGGTTACAACGAAGTTGTTCTTTTATAATGCCGATAACATGAATGATGTGTCTAATTTTATGTGACTGGTTTTCTTATCTGTGCTGACAAAAACTATCAGCTTCATGCCCAAAACTCATGGAAACCTTTTGCCCCTGTTGTTCAGATCACAGACTTACTAGTTAATATTACAAAGCATGTGTTGAAGCCAAAGCACGAGGTGCTGACTGATAGGCAGAAGAAAAATCTCCTGAAGAAGTTCAATGTAGAAGAAAAGCAGGTCAGTTGATACAATTTGGAAAAGCTTACCTCAGACGTCTTTTTGAATTGGCTATACTCTGGTTATGACACTTCTATTTAAGTTATTACTTTTTCTATGATGCATCTTTAATGAACTCGTTAAGATTGTGCACTTCAGGCTTCGAGTCTTGCGTAGAAAAAGGAAGTTGCATTTTGACATAACCGAATGAAACCAAATTTTGTTGGGTATCAGCAACAACAATTGATTTCACATTGAAATTTGTCACTAAACTTTTACACTTTGATTATTGGCTAAAATTTTGTCTCGATATGTGCAACTTTGATGTGGATGCTAGTAGAATGCTATACTTAAATATGATGTAATAGATACAAATACAGATAAAATATAAACACTTCCTGATGGTGATTATGAAAATCCTTGGCCTAGAATAGTAACCTCTATTGCATTTAGGTAGGGTGCTATGCTAACATCTGCTCAAATAGTAGAACCTACATCTTAATTTCTCGTAGGGAGAGCTTACATTCCCGCAGATCCTTTAAACACAATTTTCAGATTTTTATTAAAATAAATAACATGAACAGTAGCACTTCTTGAGGCGTGTAAGGACACTATCCCTAAGGACCCATCCAAGGTTTTCTGGCAAGTTCCTAAAATACAATAGGAACTTCTCAGATAGGGCTAAGGCTACATAACAAGTAGAAAATAAACCAAAGAGAGAACCTTGAGAGCAAAGCTGAGGTGTGTCTAATAAGAGGAGAAAAGAGGCCTCTATATGTAGAGTCGAAGATGAAGAAATCCGTTGCAAAAATAAATGATAAAAACTACCAACAGGGAGAAAATAGTTTTAATGTATACACGGAGAGAGAATATATTTACAAGTTTATTGCCTTTTGTAATACTATCAAAAAACACCTCAAAATACAAAAAATCTTAGTAGTTAACTAGTTAGCATAAGCACACCGTTCGTGATTTGTTTATCTGAAATTCTGCCCACTGAAAAAGCATATAAGTTTTATCCATGGAATGATGGAAACATGTTTGTTATGATTAAATGTGCTTACAGTAGCCATAGGGAATACTGATATTATATTCATTCTTCTATTACACATATACATATTTAGTAAAAATTGTATTCAATGAATCTGAAATTCCACATAAAAATTAAGTTTTCTTGTTCTAAGCTTCTCCATGCGCTACAGATAGATGAAATTGCGTGATATTATGGAGTCGAGAACATATTATAGTATAACTTGTATTGCATGAATGTTAAATTTCAGATTCCAAGACAAGTACCCTTATATTTAGTTTTGTTGTTTTCAGCTTCCCCGCTTGCTACGGACTGATGCAATTGCACGATATTATGGACTTGAGAGGGGTCAAGTAGTTAAAGTTACCTATAGTGGGGAAATCACCCAGATGCATGTCACATATCGATGTGTTTGGTGATAGTTTCTTGTGCTCTCTTGTTTTTTGCAGGTTGAACTCTTAGTATTTAACTGTTGTATAATGCTTAAGTTTATGATTGCATGAGTTCCACATGATCAATCCTAACGCTTTGAATCTGCCTCTGTAAATTTGGTGGTGACATTTCTCTCAGACTCTTGAAGAACAATCCGAATATAACAATTCTATTCACAGAGGTTTTTTATTTATTTACATTTTGTGAAATGGTGTTTGCAAATTATAGTTATGATCTCACCTTTTAGGGTAAGGTTTTGTTGACAGCATCCTACTACACCTTGCAAGATGGCTGTCTATAAAAGAAGCTCTAATTTGACAAATGAAACCACTTTAGTTATAATTTATTTTGTTATTAATCATGCCTTAGCAGTTTTATCCATCACATAAGCTGGTTTTATATTATTTGTGAAGGATATGTGTTCAAGTAGCATTTTCATCTGTAGCTTGCAATTCTGATGCCTGCAATTGTTGAGAACTCTATATTTGCCAGTAACGCTGAGCTAATAAATTAGTTTATATAGTATTTGGTAAAACCAGATTATAAGCTATGTTATCTTATAAAACGACGAATTCTCTTACAAATATTACGAATTTTAACCTACTATTAAATTATGATATATATATATATATATATATATATATATATATATATATTATTGATATTGTGGTAGAGTTTCTTAGGAGTTAAGATCTCAAAATTTTTATAATTTATATATTTATGAATTTGGTTTTTTCAAAGTTAGTAATAATTAAGTTGTATATTTATAAATTTGATCTTTATTTATTCTATATTTTTATATTTTTTATCTTTTATATTTATTGATTATTTATTAATAATATATTATGATATATATATATATATATATATATTATATTTAAATAAATAATAATAACAAATATAATAACGTATGATTTGTTGTTATTATATTTATATCTTCCATAAATGTTCAAATTTACCAACACAAATATTAGTTAGTAAGCAAACAATAAGGTCGCAGGTTTTGTTAATGTTTTAGAAGATATTACGATATTATTTCAGAACAATCATCTACTCAATTTGTTTCTTATATTTTCATAAAATGAAGTATTAGTATTTTGTATTTGGAACGTCATTCTAATCCAAGTCAAGCTTAGAGTTGGGAAGCGATTTAGATATTATATGAACTTACTAACAATTTATAAAATAATAAAAATAGTTTGGTGAGTGATAGTCATGTAGATAATATTTTCAATTATCTAAAACCACTTATAGATTTTCATTGGATGAAAAAGTGATTATCATATTAACTTTGATTAAATGAAAAACTAAATAATGTGGAATAAAAAAATCTAAACCATACTTGTGGGGCCTACTTTAATATATATATAAAGAAGGTTTTAGTTTTGCAAATTGTATCTAGGAAAAGGGTACTGAGAAAAGAGTTTTTAAAACTAATTAATGTAACAATCAAGATTGTGATGCAACAATAATGGGAATACTGTATTCTTGACATCTAAAACAAATATTTTTGTTTATTTTCAAGAATAATTAGTCAAATCATATAACCCCAATGAAGTCACTTAATTTTAGTTTAATAGAGAATATAAATTTGTTGCCAAAAAGTTTAACCAATGGGAGAGAAAGAAATACACGTGTGATTCTTTTCTATAAAAAGAAGTTCAACTTTTTTTATTTTTTTAAAACAAAATTCTTCCTCTATGTTTATTATAAGAAATAAACATAATACTAAAATCAAGGAATATATATATATATATATATATATATATATATATATATATTTATTTGTAAAGGAGAACATTATGATTTATGTATTAGATAAACATTTAAGGTATTGTTTTAAGAGAGTTATATTTGTTCTAAATGAAGAAAGTGTTACACACGGTTAGTTTAGAAAAGAAGTTGTAAAATAATAAAAAAAATCGAAATGAGAGAAGAGAAAAGTTCATGGTATGTTGCAAAGTATATGTATTTTTTTAGAAGATTGTATTTTTAGAGATAATAAGGTTAATATATAACATAAAGAACTTTTTTGATGATGAGAGTATCTAAGTAAACTATATATAATAGATTATTAGTGAATTTGGTGTGTTCTATTTAACGAAGATGGACATAATACAATTAAAAATACGAAAAGTGAAATAATTAGGGTTTAGGTAGATTGATAACTTATTGAAAAAAATAATGATTATTTTATAAGATGAACTATATTAAACAAGATATACACCAAAATTGTGATAACACATGATATTCTAACAAAAAGGTCTAAATTACATCAAACAAATAATAGTTTTTATGTTCAATTGATGTTGTAAAATTGATTGTAATTTAGCATGGGTGCTTCATTGGACATTCTTTAATAATATATCCATCTCTCTTGCAAAAAATTGTTAGGTGCAAAAATTTGTTAGGACACCTTGAAATATAATGTCAAAATAATTTGTAAAAAACATTGAACATTACTTATAAAATGAGTTTTTGACTTTCCTGGTGATATGTCATTGGAACAATAAATAATTTATATTCTAGGATATATTGTTTTCAATATAAAAAAAATCAAGATTCAATTGAGCACTTTTAAAGTTAGATTATAATTTTATAAAAAATCAGTGTCTTTTAATAGTTTCATGAAGTTTTTGAACTAAAATTACACCATCATATATCAAGGTTATATGAATTATATAAGAAAACTAAGTCTACAAGTTAATAAATTAAAAATAAAATTAAAGATGCATAGACTACCTTAGGTATTTTGTATTCAAGTTGGAATAAATAATTGATATTATTCAGATTATAAACTGAAAGTAAATCCATATTTTAATGACAATCTTATAAGAAGAATATTCAAGATTTAAGTCATGATTTAAGCATCATGAATCTTTCATTTAGCTTATTCTACCTTGAGATGTTAGTCTTTGTCGAATTAATATTTCCATCAACACGTTACTTTTGACAAATATTTTAAATTATAACTTTTATTGCTATTTAGTTCCATGTAATATTTTTAGTTGATAAATCTAAGAACCCAAGTTATAACTAAAAGACGAATAATAAAAGAAAATAAAGAAAAATAAAAATATGTATTAAAATTGTAACATAAATAAGATGACAAAGCTTATTAGGGGCACCAAATCAACATGCTAATTTGTTTGAAAAATAATAAGAAAGATTAATAATTTTAATTTACCAATTCATTTTGATTCATATTACCTAATTTGTTAATTTGGTAGACTAAGATTGATTTTTAAAAAAATATTTATATATTAAAATAATAATAAAAAATTATAATTAAAAATATTATATTTTTTTATTATATTATTAAAATATATAAATATATTATGATGTTATAGATTATAATTAATTACTTTAATATATAAATATAATAATTTTTTTAATAAAAATATTATTTAATAAATAAAATCTTAAAAATTATTTATATAATTAAAAATATATTTTAAAAAATATATATAATTTTTTTTATAAAAAAAATTATTAATAAATTAACCCGTTCTATAAAAAACTTTGTCGAGACAGAAATTTATAATTTATTTTCATCCCAATTTTTTACATATTGAAGGTAAAACGACCTAAAACAGGAAAGGTTAATTCATTCTGTCATTAAGATAATAGCTTCATATCTCATAAAGGTAAAAAGAAATCTCAAATAAATTACCGATAGTAAAAGTAATAAAAAAAGTTAGCATCTTATAAAATTAGATAGAGTAGATGTGGATTAAATAATAAATTATCATTAAACAATAAATCCAGTGACTTAAATATTAAGTATCGTTTAAACAGTAAATCTATTAAATGATTAGACATCCAGTGGCTTAAAGTTCTAGAAAAAATAAATCCATTCGAACATGGTAAGTTGGAATAAGCTATCCAGAAGTACTCCTTTTGACAAACAAGGAAGGTAGAAACAGTATTTGTCAACGGAGGATTATTTCCTCTCAAAAAATGGTTCAGGATTCTCAACCCCTCCGGGCCAATGCGGTAGCAATGCCACCAACTATAAGTCCCACAGCTGTTGCAGTGATGCCAATTCCTATTACGCCATCTGCATCGATACAACAAACATTTGGAATTCCTTAGTTAATGCTATAATCACGGGATAAAAACTCAAGAAACAAGTTATTATTATACCTTTAGCAATTCGATCCTCAACTATTTTCTTGAGGGCCAGTGCTTGCCTCCAATCAGGGGCAATCTGCAAGAACAAGAGTTCCGCATAACATTAAGAGGTATAAAAGGAGCAAAGCTGAAGCAGAACGTTCATGATAGACCATGGATGTATATATGTATAGAATCCCAAATATGCCATAGAAATCAAGTTTTCATATGATGATAGAGTTTAAATTTGACAAATTATCAGTGTAAGACTTTTCTAGGTTTCAATATTCACGAAATTCATCATTGTAACAACTATTTTTTTTTTTTTTTTTCAAAAAAGCATTAAATACATTAGCAGTGGATCAAAATTTAATCTGATGATAAATACTGGATTGAAAAATGTATGTATATGTATCTCTGTGTGATCAATTTGCAGATAATAACATAATAATAAGAAAAAACGGCCTCCTAATATGGTGAAAACTTTAGAAACGAAAGTATTAGATATTGAGTGTCAGCTACATGAAAAGAAATTCAGATATTGTTAGGAAAAAAAAGTTCCAGCATAGAATCAAAACAGTAGGTAGGTACTGGATATACTCGTAAGGATATCAAACGGGGTCTTAACATTCCTAGGCTACCACCAGACCAACACAATGATCCATTATATGCAGCGAACGGAATTACCATCGATCAGTTGTAGATAGTATAAAAAATAACTACGACAAGTTCTGCGGTGGCATGTTGATAAAAACCCACTATCCATAACATGAAGCATTATATGAAATGAAAATCCAGCAGTGAAAAAATAAGATAATTAGTTTCTGACTACTGTCTACAAGTGAGAAACACAGACCTCCAAACATTGCTCCGCAAGCTGCCGGCTCCTTCCATAGTCATTACTTCTATAGTAACCAACAGCCAGAAGATAAAGCTTCTCTCTTTGATGCAAAGGACTTTTATCATTGCCCAAAGAAGCTGCAAACCATAATTAAGGATGTTAAAGCCTAGCGGTTGATATAAAGGTCAGGATCAGAATATTTCAACATCAACATCTCTGTGAAACGCTATATAAGAAAAGCAATTGAAAAAAGAGAAGAGGCTCTGGTCATAGTGGCAACTGCCAGAACACAGTTGCATTAGCAGGTCAAGGCAATTTTTTTTTTTTAAACAAATAAAATTTAAAAGGCCTAATATGCAGTCCTTTAATGAAGAAATCTGAACTGCATAGTTCAAGCCATGTTAAACCACAACAATATTTTCAGTGATTTTATGTGTAGTGAACAGAAATAGCTGTAGGAAATTTGAAAGATCTTAAAGGCCTTGGTTAAACAGGTGCCTTGCAAATGATAGTTTAGTAAATTCACCATATTACATTGAAGTTTACACAATAATCATACAAAGACACAATGATCCCAGTGCCACCGTCAGAGAGATTTGGAGACCCAGTCAACAATTGCATTGCGTGTGATATTTTGGCTAATTTTGAATTATCCATCAGGCTGGCAGAATAATCAGACAACACAATTGGGCTGCTATATGCTCTGAGTGACATTTCAATAATTTTGGCATAATGAGCTGAGAAATCCGAGCTAGTACCTAAGACTTTTAAATTAATCATGCATTATAGTTTTGAAGTGTCATGACTCATGAAATCCAAGTCATAGAGAAGATGGGGCACTCAGATAACATGAAGTAATAAGATGTTTTTTAAACTGCTAAACCTAGATAGAACCTTTAGAATATAAACTGAAAACATGCAATTAAATTTTTTGAAGCAACAGAAAAACACAGAATATAACTTTTATTAAAGGTTAGTTCCAAAAGAATGAACCTAAAATATTAACTAAATTAATTAATTAATTAATTAAATAAAACAGTTTTACAAAAGCAGATCAAAATGTAATTGAACTAAATATAAGTATGCAAGTTATAGTACTTTCGAGCATGGCTATCCCACGCTGAACATCTTCCCTTTGCCTTGAATGAACAAGAGCCCATGACAACCTCATTATACTCTCGTTCTTCCGCTCCTCAGAGTCGCCATGAGCAGCATCTGCAACTTCTCTCTCACAACCCTTCAAAACACGCCAAATAGTCAAGATTGGAAAAAGGAAAGCAAGTAACACGAGACTGCATTGCTACAGCCAATGCAAGCTAATTCATCATAGCAAACAATAACCAACCTAATCTACAGTAATGTAATGAGCAATAATAAGAGAATTACCAATAGATTTTTTTTTCCACTACTACTCATTTACATCTTTTTTACCAAAGGTTAAGACAGACAGAAAACAAAAAATATAAGATTAATTCAACGAAATGACAAATATCGACGCATCTAATGAGAGATTCGCATAAAACAAATCAGCCACGAATTAACACACACCGCCAGAAACTAACCCAATAATCGCCTCAAAACGCAATAGTATAGGGATTCCCTATTAAGATTCCAGAAAAATCATCCATCCTAGCATAGTTTTTCTGATGGCAAAACTAGGGTTTCAAAATAAATAAACGAATAATTGAAAACAATAAAAGAAGAAAGATTGGATTTGATATTATTGTAAGATAGGTTAGTGAAATGAACATAGATTACAGCGATGACATCACGGTCGCACCACGGGATCGGTTCGCCACCGCCGAAGAAGTTTCCGATAGATTCGAAGAGGCTACCCATTTTGGCGTCCATAAACCGTTCTAACGTGCACAGCGTAAAACCGTGACTCAATGCTCAAGAGAGCTGTCGGTATTTATAGGTTTGGGGTTTTTGGAATTTTACACCAATTTCTTAGTACAAACTTTACGACATTATAATTATAATATTATCATTTATTACATTTTCACGTTGAATAATAATATTCAAATACGATTATCTGATTTTAAGGATGAAAAATGGATTTTTGTAATAGGTTCGAAGTGAGGATTAACATTAAAATACGATAAAATATTTTTAAATTTTTGAATTAATTTCAGTATGCTAAAGAATGACAGAACTTAATTTTATGTTATTATTATTTGTTAAATATTTGAACATTCAATCTTAGGTTGACTTTAAATGTGCACGTTATAAGAGTTTACCATTAATCAACTTAATAAATACATATAAACATTGTGTAAATTATGATGTGAGGTTATTTTTAACTATTAAAATTTATATTTGATATATTTATAGTAATAATAAAAATAATACGCATTGACTATAAAAATTTTAATATATTTATTCTTATTCTTATTCGTCAATAAATTGATTGTCGCCCCCACACTTTGCTAGATCCTTTTTAGGTAGATTTGATTATATTTTTCATTCTCCACAATTTAGAGTAAATAAACTTTTATTCATAAATTTAATAAAATATAATTTCAATTTTTTAAATATTAAATTTGAAAAAACTAAACTACAATTTATGGTTATACAATTATATTTTGTTGTTACTTGAATTTGAAAAAAAAACTTTCGAGTTTCTTTAACAAGTTGGACATGTATAGATAGAGTGGGGAAGATATTTACAGAAAGCAATCTGATACTTAAGTATGTGAATAAGAATAAAAAAGTAAAACATGAATGAGTGAAATAAATGACATACTAAACTTGTTTATATAAGAGTGTGATATTATAATTACCCAGAAAATATGTGATATTTTTTTTTTCTAATTTGTTAGCAAGTATTTTAGTTAGTTTTTGAGTATTTGGGTATCACCAAGATATTCATATATTGCCGAGATATTTGATATAAAAATTTCGACAATTATAATATTCAGTTGTTTTAGGATTGATTAGGTGCAGAAGTTCCTTAAGCTTCCTCTAAGGTATGTAGGTATATTAAAGGTGAACGAGTTTATAGTCTCGTCACTTTGCTTTTTTTTTTTTTCTTATGAGATTCTTGATGTGTTACTTTTTGTCCATCTATCAATGCTTTTTCTTATTCTAGCAGTACATTAATTAGGGGAAATCTCTGTGATCATTAATGCTTGCTCGAAATATAAAGCATTTTTCATGCATTTTTGTTTGTTCTTTTATTCTGATACTCTCATTCTCTCAAACACTTTTTGTATCTTCAACTTTTGTTCTTGAGTTTCTGTCTCCACTTTCAAGCTCTCTTTTCCTTTTCGTTCACGTTTTTCTTCTACAAATCTTTAAGGTACTTCTTTATTCACTTCTCTCGTTGTCAATGTGTACATCTATTTATTTTGATTCTTCGAAGCGAGTGTCTCCCCTGGTATCTAAGGAGGTGCACTATTTGGGGTACATATTTTGATAATGTAATAAGCATTAATGTTTTTGAAGAGGTGGAAGTGAACTCTGAGGCTATTTCAGTCATGGTTTCCACCACAACTGTGTCCTGGAGACGCAAGGGCAAGTCAAATGTGGGTTAGGGATCAAAACAACTTGTTGTTGAAGGTCATGGTGAGGGTGTTAAAATTAAATGTAAGGATAAATTTGCTCCTATCCCTGACCCCGAGTATTATTGGGTCTTACATGAGGTGCATTACTATAGGTATACATCTATTTCCATTGTAGAGGAGTTTTGCAAATCCTTTTATATGAGTCATCTTATGCTCATTTGATAACTCTTGAGTCGTGCTCATCTTCTGACCAAGTTTATATAAAGTTAGGGGTTGATGTTGAGGATTTTACTTTTGTGTACGAGTGCCTGTTTAAAGAGTTGGAGATTTTGCTACCTTTCATCGATTTTAAGTGTGACATGTTATCTGTTTTGAGGGTGGTGTTGAGTCAACTTCATCCTAATAGTTGGGCTTTTTTGAAGGTTTTTCAGATTTTATGTTTTTTTTTATTCAATTGACTTATTCCGTGAACGTCTTCATGTATTTTTATCAACTAAATTACTGATTTGACATTGGTTTGGTTTCGTGTGACGGCTCTCAGCATGGCAGATTGTTCACTATATATACTCAATCCTTTAAAAATTTTAAGAATTCTTTTTTTTTTAGTGAAGTGTAATGATACAAACCCCTCAAAGTATTTGTTTTATTACCGTAACAACTCACATCGATTTCCCCTTTATTGGACAACTCCAGTCAAGTTCAAGTTGCGTCCCGAGCACTTGCTTTCTACCGAGGATCAATATCAATAACTATATTAGAAGAGCTACCTTGACCTTTAAGTTGTAAAGATCTTTTGGCCATTACTTATGTTAAGGGCCAAATGTCTCGATTTAATGGTGAGATGTGTGAGATGTTTGCTTTGTGGTGATACTGCTATGCCTTCTACGCATTTCTAATATTTTTTTTGTGTTTCAGAGATTATGGGGAGTTCCTTCGACTACAAAAAAAAGATCCGTGTTAAGTTTGGTATTGCTCCTTGAAATGTAAAGGCTTCATTGGCCAAGCTGATACTTAAGGATTCATCGGCTCTTGCTTGGAAGCCATCTAAGATGCCTTCCAAGAAGGCTAAGGTTGCCTCTGCTCCAACTGAGCTTTAGCCCGTGGTTGTTAACATCTTTGAAGAACTCATGGAGGTTCCTGATGCAGTGCTTCGTTGTAAGCGAGTGGCTCCTTCTGACATCCCCTCTAATGTCAATCTCTAAGTTATTCCTCCGATGACAAACTCGTTATCGTTGTGTCGAGACAGTCCTTTGGACTGTGTGAACCACGTTTTGATGAACGCCGAAGGAGTTAAATTGCTTTGGCACATCAAGATGTCCACAAATAATGTAAATATGGGCACTGACTTTCCACCACCCTTTAACCAAGATCTGTTGAGAGCAGTTGGTCCTTATAATTGTTTAGACTTTGTCGAGATGATGGCAACACACATTATGGCTATATGATGGCCAAACTAAGGTGGACGAGGTGGAGAAGCAGAAGGCTACCCTTCAGCATGAGTTGGATGATCATGTAACAACTTTGTCCAATAAAGTCAAACAAAATGTCGATTTGTCTGATCACATGCTAAATTTAGGGAGGGAACTGAAGAATATTGAGGTGCATAAGAGACAATAATGGGAAGAGGCTAATAGGAAAGATATAATTAAGGGTGAAGTTGGTTGAGGCCGAGGCCGAGAAACGTGTAAAGGATGAGTTACGTGCAGTTGAGACATAACTAGTGAGCATTTATGAGGAGAGTTTTAAAAAAGTTGTGTCTCAAGTTGTCGTATTGTGCCTGGGTGTGGATGTTGCCCAGTTCGATATTGAGAATGAGGTCAAGGATGAAAAGTTTATTGATGCACCTTAATGTATTTTTATTCAAATTCTGTTTTTATAATTCAAATGATTGTATATGGGATAACTAGTCTTATGAAAATTTGCATAAGATTTTGGGTGTATGATGGTTTGTATTTTATAATGACGCACTTTGTGTATTTGATCATATAACATGTGCGTTTTATGCTCAATGGGCATTTTATGCTCGGTAACCGACTAGTCATTTGATAAGTATGATGAAAAATAAAGTATGTTAATGTAAACATTTGCAATGCATAATAGAGTATCGATTAAACAATAGTAATCGAGGATAATTGTAGTATTCATAATTAATCAAAATAATTTGACATTCGCAAGTAGCTCGAATGGATTTTATAGCTTTATTTTAGCCATCTCAAACTCATATGATCTTATTACAATTTTGTCTTTCACTTTATTATCTATCCACTCATTCCTTTGCTTCTCTAATCAACATTCGAGTATGGATAGGAATTTTAACATTAATGTATCATGTAAATTATACAAGGATAATAAATAATATATAGACATAAATGAGAATAATATAAATCATCAATCATCATTGTTATATCAAATGACCTTGTGACGACACTCAAATAGAAGGGAAACAATTTAGGGTAAGGTTTTAAGAGTTGATTTGATTGGAAATAGAAAACAGAAAAACATAAAAGATACCGTAGGCGCCACAAATAAGAATATTTGATAAGCCAAGAAGGATCGCCACAAGAATCGAATAATTCTTGATAAGATCAAGTGATGCAAGGAAGAATCCTAGCAGAGCAACAACTCACAAAGTGATTCTGAATATTACGTACCTTCATTCTGAATTCCTAAATGTTTAATACAACTTAAATTTATGAGTTTGTCTCATTGCAGGAAATAAAGATAAATTAAAATCCTAATATCCCAAGCAAAGTTAAGTTGCCCAGATGGTTCAGTGAAAACATTATAAAAATAATAACTAAATCTTCTATTTGGGCCTTCTAGCTCTCCAAACATTTTATGCATGTGATATGGCTAGACTCCTCCATGTTTAGAGCTTTTAATAGTTGGACCTTTAGCAAATTGGTCACTTTGTGTTGCAATGCCTCTTGTCATAGGTCCACCTAAGTCTTGGATTGGATCTTGGTCTTGCTACACCCCACTGTAGCAAATAATAATAAAAATAATAACTAAATCTTCTATTTGGCCTTCTAGCTCTCCAAACATTTTATGCATGTGATAGGGCTAGACTCCTCCATGTTTAGAGCTTTTAATAGTTGGACCTTTAGCAAATTGGTCACTTTGTGTTGCAATGCCTCTTGTCGTAGATCAATCTTATAAGCATTATCATTGATCTTCTCTAAGACTTGGAATGACCCATCTCCTCTAGGTTGAAGTTTAGACTTTCTTTGTTCAGGAAATCTTTCCTTTCTCATGTGTACCCAAATCCAATCACCAGGTTGGAACACCACCTTTTTCATACCCTTGTTAGCTTGCCTCGCGTAGCTCTCATTCTTCTTTTCAATT